AAGCCACTGGGTCTGGGACTCGAACCACAGTTGAGCATATGGGAGTCCAACAACATAACCACTATGACGTATGCTAGTCCCATGTATTTATTTATTTTTAAAGAATTATTTAATTTTGTTTATTATTATTATTTTAATTTGCTATAGGGTATATACACTTACCAAAGAAAGACAGAGAGAGAGAGAGAGAGAGAGTGAGAAAGCAAGCCACCAGGTCTGGGACTTGAATTGTGGTCGACCACATGGGAGTCCAGAACCTTAACCACCACACCACCTGCTGGCCCTTACTTACTTACTTTTCATTTCCTTTAGGGTGCTGTGCTCACTGGAGAGAGGTGGAGAGAGTCTCCTGTGTTGCGCCCTCTCTCTCTATCCCTCTTTGGTCAAATTAGAAAATGAATGAATGAATAAGTAAAATAAAATAAATAATTATTAAAAAATACCATATCATGTTGCACAGGCTTAATACTCACTTAGTTCTCACAACACACCATGCTTCTTCTAAAACATAGTAATTCACATGTAACTCCAACAAACTGTCTCGCACTTCTTTCGCCGATTTTCGACTATATGCAGAATAAACTATTTTTGTCCGGGCCCTTAAAGTTAAAGGACATTAAAATGAATGACGTTAAAATGGACTAAACAGATTTCAGCACAAACTGAAAGCTCTGTACTCACTAAATGGAGCGTGGACATACATGACCCAAAACGGTACACGCTATTTTGGGGACAGCAGTTTCCATATCCCCACTTACACTCTGCAGGTCTAAAGCTCACGGCAGTTTGAAATTTTCTTACAGTTCTTGTCTGAGCAGAAATTAGTCGAGGGCTATACCGGTGGCAAGGTAATAGCTCAAGGTATAAACTGTGCTTCGCATAACTCACAAAATAATTCCTCTGCTCTTGGAATACATTCTCACAGGGATGAAATGTAATGAAAACACAGATTTCATTAGATAACTTTATCTGGAGAAGCTCTGAGGAACGCACAAACTGAAGCTGGGTATCTACAGGGCAGAGAGAAATGCACATCCAGGGTGTTAGGACTGGCAGAAAAACATCTGTTTTTTTAGAGAGAGATTTTTACTACAGCGAGCATGTGCTCGCTGGAGAGACAGAGACAGACAGAGAGACAGAAAGTGAGAAATCACTCCTCCCGGGGGGAATGGCCACGCCACAATCCCTTCTCCTCCATTCTCTTCTCAGGATCTTGGGCACGCACGCACACGCACCGGGTGTGTTTTAAGCCGCCAGGTCTGGGACTCCAACTGTGGTCGACTATGTGGGAGTGCAGCGATGTAACCATTACACCAGAAAAACATCTTAACAGACTCTTGAGAAACAGGAACGTTCACCAAAATATGATTCAGGAGAAGATCTGGCCTTACGTAGGAGCTCTTATGAAATCCTGACGGGACTACCATTTATGCTTTAGATATAACTTAGGATTTCAAGCGTTTGCCACATGGAACCACTACAAATAGACATAAAACTTCAGATAATTTGAAGACGTTAACAAGGGTCAAAAATACACTAAAGGAAAAACGTACTCTGACAATTACTGGAATGACCAAAGTAATTTTTAAAAACCAGCCATCTAGGGAAAATAAAAATTTTCAGACCTCAATGGAAAAGAGAGTCCTCACAATCACTTAGCGAAATACCCTAACTTTTCTAAAAGCATGTCATGTTGCAAGTTTCATGCAGACTGTGGTAAGAAAAGGCTAGTCGCTGACCACCAGTAGGAGCTTTGATTTCCTGCATCAGGGGCCTCGTGAAGCCTGGAGCTCAGGTTGGCAACTACGGCCCAGAGCCAAGGGAATTCTCCCTTCTGCTGTTAGGAGTCTTCGTGGAACATGCACATGCACACACACATGCACACGTGTGCACACACAAGAGCTCGCTAAGCCTGCGTCAGAGGTAATAGGTACAGAGACCGGCTGCAGTTACCGGAGCTCTTCAACTTCGCCTGCACGTGAGGACGCGCCACACCTGAGTGTGTAGAACTTTCCCCTCTTCCTAAGAATTGATCGTGACTAACAAGTGAGTCTGGCTGAAGTCACTGGCTCCCACCTCAAGTCTGCATCCTCGTAGTGCGGATGGTTCACAATGGGATGGAGTGTAGACAGCTTGACACTCGCCATGGTAGGCATTGCACCTGCAAACACGGCATCTGGAAGATAGGAGCATGTTCCTTGGCAGCAGGTTTCTTTTTTTTTTGGAGAGGTTTTCGCTATAGGGTGTGTGCGCTCGCCAGACAGACAGAGAGAGACATAGAGACAGAAAGCAAGAAATCACCCCCCAGGGGAGATGGTCAGGCCACAATCCCTTCTCCTCCATTCTCCTCTTGGGATCTTGGGCACGCACGCACAAGCGCCCGGCATGAGTTTTAAGCCACCGGGTCCGGGACGCGAACCGCGGTCGACTACGTGGGAGTCCAGCAACATAGTCATTACGCTAACTGCTGGTTCCCATTGGCAGCAGGTTTTGAAGGAAACCTCATGTTGAGCTTACCCACCTGACTTGAACGGAAGATTGGAGAGATAAAGCGTGGTCGGCAGTGACCACAGACGCCGCTCTTAGCTCCGCCCCGCACCTGCCCCTAACCTCATCCCAGGGCCGGAGACGCGACCGCCCTTCTG